CATGTTAAAACCGTTTTATATAATCTTGTGCAGATCAATGCTCATATGTATCTTTATTTATTTATTTATGTGATAAAAATGAATTTGATAATATTTGGAGAATTCCTCGATAAATCGATTTGCCTATAAATTAGCTTGAAAATTAAGTTGTGTCAATTTTTATGAGGCCATGGCTCAATGCGGATAAATGTTGCAGGCAGAGCAGGCTGAATCGCTAAGTAGTTGTCCAACTATCGAAATAAGTTGTGTCGAAGGTCGCGGGCTTTCCATTCAAATCATAGATAAGTCAGTCTGGCAGCATTAGCCGCATAGATGGGTGCCCACGACCCTCGTGTGAAGGAAGGACATCTCGGCCGATGTGGTGTGATGACTGCTCTTATCACAACATCTAACAGTCTAATTACTGCTTTGACGACCCAACACTCCTGCAGCCCAGGTGGCTGCATCCGATATCCTTCCATGTCAATTCTCACAGGGCGCTGCATCAGAAATGCAGGGAAGACCTTCACTTCTTGCAAGGCTTCGGAGATGGAATGCAGGGTTGAGATCGGGCAGGCCAAACGCCTGCGATAGCACTGGAACTGAGGTCCGCCTGCAAGTCTTCCATCAGGTGCCCACCGTCTTTATGGGTGCATGCACGGCCGAGAAACGTAAGAGTTCAGGAAGACCTTGTCTAAAGCATCGTGTGATGCTCCGGATTTGCGAGCTCTCTGTATGAGAGTGCAGGCAGTGGCTAGGGCGAGCGGTTCAATGCAACGCCCTGCAATGCCACATTCATTGGTGGGAGTGCAGGGGGAAGTGACCTGGCGATATCTTATAATAGCTTCCAATAGCAACATTAAGGCTCTGTTCCTACCATGGACCAGCCCATCCTTGGAGTCAGTCTCTCCACAGCGTCTCCTCAGCGTGCTAACCTGGCGACGGCCATGCAGATTGCAAAGAGTTCCGCTTTTCGGAACCCTTGCAAGGCAGCCGGCATGTCTAGGAAAAGCGCCTAGAGCTGCAAACGAACGACTCAAAACAACGCCCATGGCCCACTAGGCTTCCTGAACAGGCAGCCTTCATGGCCCCTTGCCGACCGCCTTGCAATACGTCCATGAATTTCCGCACATTGATTGCGCGGTGAAGCTGAAAGAGGGCTTGTCCAGATGTCAACCCACAAAGCCAAAACAGGATACCAGGCAGTCACATGTCACAATGCAAAACCCTTCGCCTTCCAGTGTAGGATAGACTCACCGGCTTTCCACGGAGCCCTGAAAGCATGCAACTTAGTCAGAAACTAAAACCAACTCAATGGAACTTTACATTGTATACATGACCTCGGAAGCCTGTGGCAAGAACGGTACCACCACAACATCCATTCGGACCGGTTGCACAGGAATGCTCTTCACATGATCATCCAGGGACTCAGCGCGCTAGACACTTTTCTGTCATGAAGTTCGGTAGTTATTGAGATCAGGAACATGACAGACCGTGGTATGACTCATTGATTGAAGGGTGCGTGTGTGTGTGTGAGTGTGTGTGTGTGTTTGTTTTTGTGTGTGTTTGTGTTTGTGATTGTGTGCGCGAGTGGTGTTCATCGTTGTCAACCTCATAAGCGCTTGACATCCGACGCACCCAGAAGCGGACGAACCCACGAAGTTTCCACATCACGGCCGCGCCACGCGCGTCTGTCCGATCAGGTAATTAGCGTTGGGACAGCATCCCAGCTCTCGAAGAACCTCGGCTCCAGGATTTAAGGAAGGTCGAAAGCTCGGCCTGTGGGACAGAAAGACTCGACACTCTACGACAGGACCTTCAGCTGCGGATCTTAAGCCCCTGTGACACACAAAAAACTTCTGGATGGAGCCGGCGACCGAAACCTTGACCATCTGCAGAATCTGATATCGTACACTAGCACTCGCTAGCAGGCCCGGCGGGGATTGTTCCTCTACAACCTGGCCACGAGGGTCGGAATATGCGTGCTCACTGTCGCCTTAGAGCTGGCTGTTGAAACTTGAAACCAGCCAGTCTAAGCCAATCCATGAAATGTCAATGTCGCAAGCTTGAGCCAGGGTCTGCGCTTACCACGACTCTGCGAGTCCTCTTGCCGGCGTTTACTGTCGTCAGCATCCAGTACCTAGACCTAGGCCCAATCCCAGTTTGGGGAAAGCCCAGCAACGGATACTGCATCAGCTGCCTCGCAGATGGACGCTCCTGAGCGCGAAGTCGAGGCATGAATCCTTTCACCAACTGCCTACCCAAACCTGGGCATCCAACACTGAAATCCAAACACCACTAGCAGCACCTGTATCCACCACAAGAGCGGCGCTTCTCCAATGCACTACACAAAACCCAACAAGACCTCTATTGCCAACCCCTCCATTGTAACCCCCAGCCTTTGGAGTGAGCCGCGTGCAGCAGGAAATCAGTGCCCGGAGCTCCGGGCTTGCCTGTCTGGGCAAGGGTTTCAATCGTGCCAGCGAGGTGCAGACTACCAATTTCCCGCCCAGCGGCATGTTCAGGAACCTGAGGTGGCTCCTCGAGGCCGCTCGGAGACATGCGCAGGCACAAAAAACGCCTTGCTACCTCTTGACTCCATTTTCGGTAGCAGCTCCTTGCTGGTTGCCACGTGAATAATGGCGGCAACATTGGTCTCGAAGTGGCCCCACGGAGGTCGGGTTGTCAGCATTTCCTTAGACCGAGCTCAGATGCAATGATGAAGCACCGACAGGCGGGGCTTGAATCACTCCATCGCCGTAGACATTCCCACAGCAAAGCAATTTTCGAACCTGCAGCTCCTCTGGTTAGGTCTTGCCAAGATGCGATGAGGACACAGCCAAAGCTCCATATGTCGGCTTTGCGCCCGTAGGGTTGCTGATTAACCACTTCCGGCGCCATCCACTGGACAGAACCTGTGCGACACGGCTATCATGCCATGGACCTAAGCAAATGCGGGACTTTCTGCTCTGTTGGCACAAAGTGCGCTGGGTGACCTCTCGTTGGTTGAAGCATGTTAGCATATGTTAGCCTTGCACATGTGCAGTGTGCACAGATATACTTCCACGTCGGGCCATTGCCCAGTCCCGGCCAGCTTCGATGGCCTCGGAGGGTGTGCACAGCATTTCCTGATGCACGCTTCGAGCATCCGAAGTCTGCCAGCTTCACAATGCCGTCCACACCTGACGGCGCTGGGAATGAATGCGTGGGTTGGATCGCAGACTTTCAGCCCGAAGACTGTGTTCTCGACCAACAGAAACTTGCAGCACACTTTTCCAAGTGAAGTTCGACTTAAGGTTTTCTTCTTGGATTTGTCCTGACCCGAAACGAGACCATCTCCCGAATGCTTGAGGTTCGAATGAATCCGTTCCTGGCCAGAATCCCGAAGCTCGAAACGTCATCTATCGAATCTATCGTCATTTACACCCACATCGAAAATCCAGCCTAGAAGGATGTTGGCGGTCTTGACATCCCTGTGCAGGATGGAGGGCTTTCGAGTGTGCAGGTAGTGAAGCGCCTCCAGCACCTCAGGCACCCACGACGTTTCGAATTCGAGCCCGCGAGCTCAGAGGCTTTAGATGCCTGCCTTCTGGGAGTCATTAGTTCATGTCGGCTTGGCGTGCCACGGGAATCTGCCGATATGCGGGGGAGGCTCTGAATTACTGCCGAGACTTTAGACTTTAGACATAAGCGGACACGGCTTTAAGTAAGAATTCTATCATGTTTCATAGGAAAAGTGTTGACTCCTCGGCAAGACAGACAACCTTCTCTTAAACTTGGGAGCAAGACTGTTGCTCCGGCCTGGCGCGAGTAGGTTGCGATGTCAGGCTCATCGAAGGCACCGATCTGCGAAAGTAGTTGGTTCCTGGGCCACTATGCCACTCCATGAGTTTTCGAGGGATGAAGAATGATGCTTTATGTCTTGGCGCGGAGGCATTGGAATTCAGTATCTTCTCGGTGTACGCGATAAGGAGTCGGCATAAGCCAAGATTCAAAGAACCACCAGGCATGCATTCCAGGAAGATGTACATCGTCTCGCCGATGCTCTCGGTCCCGAAGAAGGCAACGATATTGGGGTGGCTTACCTTCCTTGAAGTCAGGGTTGTGTGTGTCCCCCACCAATTGGAAACGAGGATGCTTGATCATGAGTGACAAAGCTGGATCCGAGAAGCCTGAGAACTGAACACGAAGCTGATGATGAGGGCTCCATTAGGGTAGTGTCTGCTTGACTGGCAAGAGACTGCTGTAAGGACGACGACACCCCATGCCATGTGTGTTCCTCTTGTGAATACACCAATCCTGCTTGCTGAGGTTGTCTTCTTTTCAAGATGATGATAGACGACTGTCTCAATTCCGATCATCCTGAGCTCAGGAGAAACCCCATAAATGAAGCCTGAAACCTTTACACCTGAAGCCTGAACTCCCCGCACCCTGATCCGGAGGTCGGTCCTGTAGAGGGAAACCTCGCGGTCCACGCAAAGCGGAGCTCGCTTCTCTCCCTCCTCGGTAGTGTCCAAAAGCACCTCAACGTGCACATTTCAGAGGAACGTTGTGTCAGAAAGGCGTCTTCGTCGGTTGCTTCAGGGGTTGTGCTTCAAGTGAAAGGCCGGCAGCTACCAGCCCGAGCCCAGCCTCTTTGACAGCCATCTTCTGGCCTGTGTGGCGGTCGGTTGCCATCCAAACGGAACCCATCCTCAACTGCTCCAGACTGGATCATTTGTTTTCGCATCTCTTAGACAGCTTGCATTTGGGATTTGGTGCTTGGAGATGGTGTTTCACACCAAGCGTCGCGCCACGGCCCAGCAGTTGGCCGCGGATCCATTCGAACTTCTTGCCCTGAAACAAAGTGCCTGGATGCCGAGTCGAGCTCATCAACGGAGGCTGCTGCTGCTGGACGACTTGTACAATGGGACCGGCGACCTACGCAAGCGGTGCCTGTAAGAGTGCCTGCAGAGCTCAGCGGGCACGTAGTGCTACCCGCCGTGGACGACTTGGACAGCCTTCAGAGATGCTGCGGGGGCTCCGACACGGGTTTTGCAGATGTTCGGAGTGCGTGCCATCTCCGATCGACAACTGAGCGGCGGTCGAAACCTCTTTACAATCCTTTGACGCGAACAAACCCTTGCGCGTTTATGGTGCGCGCAGCTTCTGCGGAGCCAACTGTCCCTTGCCTGTGGCACCTTGAACCTGCTCCAAGCTTTAAGCCTTACAGTACGCGCGACCTTGCGCGTTTCTGGTGCTTGTGCAGGCCTGAAACTTTAATTGCTGAGATTCTCTTCCACGACCATGAGCGGCGCGTCTTTACAATATCTCCAGATACCCTTGTGCACACCCCTTCCGCGCATCGGCTTTTAATACAAGCACGGCGCTAACGAACATGTTAGCCAAAACTAGCTAGGCGAAAAGGTGCAGTGGCGCCCTTTTGGTCGAAGCGCAATCGTGCGCCCGGCCAGGCGC